TMTTAWTRAWKAWWAYWRCWGCTGGTAGGACCCCCCTACTCCCATATGACTACTAGTTTCTTMTTTGAATTGGCTTTCAATTCACATGCCTGTCTATTTTTAGTGTCCATTGGGGACCAAGACAGCTTTTCCTGGAGTGAGTTGAACCTCAGTGAATTTCAAAATATGATTTTTAGTGTGCGTTATTTTGGACCTTCTTTTTATTGCGTACTAGTAGTACTTGTTTAATTCGAAACATCTTCTATGCCTTGCACCAGTTCAAATGAAGAAATTCCATGTTTAACTGTTGATTGTTGGTTACTCCTGTCAATGAAATAGACTAATGTAGATCAATGATAGATCAAATAAGAAGTAGATAGTATATATCTAAATTGTGTAGCAATGGTAATATTGATGGAAGTCAAATAAATTGTATCTGACATGGCTGATGTAATCTATTCAATAAAGTGGGGCATAATGGTTTGAATATTCTTTGACGTAAACTTAGCAATTGATCAGACATGCTTTGAGTAGTGCTGGGACAGACTGTTGAATGTGTTCATGCTCAGTATGAAACTGGYGCGGAACACATCAAAAAGAAATTAATAAGGAAAGGTACATGTAAGAGCAACAAAGAACCAGCAATGACATGCAATAGAAATGGCTTGATCCTCACCATAAATCCTATTGTTTGCTGTGCAGTTTGMAAATTAGTATGATGCAACCTAATTCATCATGGTTGGAATTTATAAGGTTTCTTGGATTTACTGTTGGAGGACTTTGGGCTGTGGTGCTTCTTCCTCTCTCCTCACTTGTGAGAACTAGCAAAAGCTGAAASAATGAACCATTACATCTTCTTGTTGATAGCATCCAAGGTCTGCATCTGGAAGTCCTTTCTTCTTCCAGAATAATCCTTCTTTTTTTTCTATCTTCCTCTGCATTTTGTTACATCATTACAATAATGCCCTTGCTGGTGCTGGCTCTTGTTGTTGAGTATGCTCCTCTCTTCTTGATAGGATAAGGACTGGATACTACTACTAGTATTGACACAACAGGAACAGTTACAGTTCTTGYACTAGTAGTTGCTACAGTGTAGTATGTATGTAGTATTATTGTATCCTGGTGGGTAAATCSTGTCTGAGAAGGCTGGTGGAGCTGAGGATCAATGATGTTCCTGTTGCTATTTGACTCCCTATTGATTTATCATTTTTATCACCAAACTCATCAGCATACCAAAGACTGTTGGCCTCTTGCCTACCAATCAAGAACTTCTTGATCATTTTTGTAAGCTGAACTACCTTACTAGTAGGCATGTTCAGATCCCTGGCGGTAATAATGATTTTCCTTTGGAGAGACACATCATACTACTTCCTACTACTACAGATGAATCCTAGTCTCTCTTCTGGTTGGGACCATCAGGTCAGGTTTCAGCATGTCTCCGAACAACCTGATCCATTTTGGTCATACCACCAAGTTTAGTACTACTGGGAACAAGGATGTCGTTCATGATGTACAGCATCATGCTGATRATGTAGGTGTGACTACTATCCAATAGTAGTGATGATAAATCTACTACTATAAATAATAGTAGTACCAGTAGTTTCAAGGTAGCTAACCACTGTTTCTACTTGAATTGTCACTCTTCCACACCCCCTCCTTGGAGGGAGGTGACAACCCCCCCCCCCCTGAGCAGCTAGGATCCTTCTTGTTCAAAAGGTTAAACATAAATTTAAGATTTTCCAAATAATCATTTCTACTTCTAGTACTAATTTGATAATTACTAAGCAAGCCTGATATAGGTGTTGATACTAACACTAATGTCATCTCCTCTTTATTGTACTSGTGGTGAAAAGACCACCAGCATCATTCTGCAGTAGATCTTGTTTCTCCTTGTGTCTCCTGCTGGTGGGGTGTAAGCAAAAACCATTGAAATTTTGTACTGTTGTTGTTTMGAATTGTCTTTTGGGGTTCTTGTTGCCTCCTGTTCAAAACACAAATTGTTAAATGATGGATTCCAACTGACAAAATATGCATCAGATTACTATACATCCAATGATGGTACTACTAGTAGTAGTACTAATCGCTCCCACTCTACAACTACTGGCAATTTTGAGATTTATTCTTGTCCCTATTCATACTGTCATTGCAAAACTGATGTTTTTGGGGGATCAACACCATGCACAACAATGAAAAGAATGATAACCTCAACTARTAGCACTACTTATTGGGTGATTTCTGTTCCTCTAGCAAATGTACTAGTATAACTGGGCATTTAGAGCAATGGGAATAAAATTTTATTTGGCCTTCTACTAACAGCATTTTTATGAATTTAGAATCTGAATTACTAAAGTTGAATATTTGTCACATTATTATGACTAGTAGTAAAAGCTTTTACTAGTACTGGTGAGCTTGCTGCTGAATCATCATACAACAACAGACTTAAAATTTTCATTTGTTAATCCCATTCTAAATCTAGTAGAGGTAGATTTGAAGAGACCCCCTGACCCCTATTCAAATACTTAATCTACTAGAATTAGTAGGAATTGTGCTGAATTTTCTCTCTGAGAGCCTATCAAATCCATTAGTACTAGTACTAGTACTAGTACTAGTTGGTGTTTTACTACTAGTAGTAGTAATATTGTTACATTTTCCCCTCAAGGGTCAGGTACTAGTAGTGACAGGCACCCCCACATACTTTCTACTTTCACAACTTCCTGGACAGGGCTCTCTGTAAGTTTTTGACAAGGAAGAACGTCACAAAGAACAAGACTGTTGCTGCCAACAAAAATAAGAGGACTGCCTACTACTACTACTACTACTACTACTACTACTACTACTACTACTACTACTACTACTACTACTACTACTACTACTAGGAGTAGTAGTAGACTTTCTTGATGTTACTAGTAGTAGTAGTAAGAAAACAATAACACCAGCAACAACAACAAGGACGAGACAAGTATGACAGCCTGGTGGTGGTGCTGCTGGTGGGCAAGAAGAATATTCTCCTTTTCTTTGTTTCTATTTTATTAATTAAACATGGAGAAAACAACAAAGAGAAACAAGAAGTAGAGGGAATATTCTCCTTGTTTTGCTTTGTCAATATTGCCCATTGTTAAACAAAGAGAAATGATTCTCTTCSTTTCTTCTTGGGCCTGGTAGTTTTGAGATACTTCAGTAACTTTTTCCTTTTTTCCTGGGCCATGAATTTTTGGATCACAGCAGCGCTCATTGTCCTAACGTTACCTACGGTACGGTATGGTACGAGTACCGCAGTATGCGCAGGAAGAAAATTACTTCTCCGGCGAAAAAATACTCATGCACGTGCCATACACGTGCACCAACACGATTTTCTKAAATGAGATAGTCACGCGTGCGTGAATTAGCACGCCAACGGGACTTGGGAACGAACCAACTCTGAAAACCTTWTTCAAGGAAAGCTAGTTCCGTGTAAAAAATACTTCGATACAGTAAATTGATTACATCACGTTCATTCTTTACTARAAAGTCATGCACGCGCGAATCATTCACTAAAAGAGGCGTTGCACTTGACTAACTCTTATGAAACCCGCGTTCAGGGAAAACTGTAGGTAGAATGATCACCATTTCGAGTCTCCAAGTTCGGTTTTTGGAATTTTTGGTGTCTTTTTTTTTTATCAACGATCGTTCGGGTCTCCAGTATCGAAGCGAATGAACGTTACATACCGYACAACAATATCTCTGCAACAAATACATAGCAGTACCATTCTCCCTGCACTGTCCTCTTTGACTATCCCGGTAATAATCCCGGTAGTAAAGAAAGGTACTAAGAGAAGAGCGCAAAGACAGATATAGAAAAGGACACAAGGTCATCGACACGGTATTACCCAGGCCAATTCGAGAAGGACCACAACGAGGAAGAGAGTGTCTCTTAGCCCCCACAATCCACATCCAATAGCCAGAATTGATCTGGAATTCTGCATCGTATTATTTTGTTGCCAGGATTATTTAATAATGACAATGAATAGTTTGGGAAGGGTTGTTATCTGCCATATCCAGCTTTTGACCGTATTTCAAATACTGATTTGTTCTTTCGCCGAAAGCGGCACACCTCTTACAAACAATGCTGGAGCGAAGGCTCCTGACGAAGTTCCCTTGAATCGAATCGGGGAGCTCGAGCCCTCTATTGGATTTTATCAGTCAATCGAAATGGTGGAAAACTCACTTTTGTTTGCGAAGCAAAGCAAATACCAAGCAATTGAGGTTCACCAATCGAAATTCTTTGGCAAAATGTTGGTACTAGACGGGGTGATTCAACTGACGGAGCGGGACGCCGATTCATACAACGAGATGATGGCTCACGTACCCATGTTTCAACACCCAAACCCGAAACGCGTTTTAGTTGTTGGAGGTGGCGATGGCTATGTACTCAAGGAGGTCTTGAAGCACCCAAGCGTAGAACACGTCGATCACGTCGATCTCGACGAAGAGGTTATTCGAACTTGTGAAAGTTATTTTCCACAATGGGGGGATGCTTGGAAGGATCCGCGGGCCCATCTCCACATATGCGATGGGGCCAAGTACATCAGGGACAAACCGGACAATTATTACGACGTGATCATTCAAGATTCGTCCGATCCTTGGATTGCTGGTGAAGACGGAGTTATGGTCCCGCTGCCTTCTGGTGTTTTATACGAAGAAGAGCACATCTGCGAAATGCACCGTGTTCTGAAACCTAACGGGATTCTCAATATTCAGGTGAGAAACGAACTCGTTGCTCGTTTCATTTCAWAAACAGGCAATTKGTAATTATTTTTTATTTCATTGACTGCACTAATCTTTCGCCCATCATTTTCTCTTGTGAAAAAGGCGGAATCCTTTAACGTCCCTACGTCTCTAAGTGGGATTGTCACGTGGAGAAAAACAATGGAAGCATGTGGCTTTAAGAGATCCAGGTACGGAAATATTCATACTACCTCCTATCCAACGGGTCAAATCGGATTGCTTTTAGGAGAAAAGAATCCGTCTWCCGCGTCAAAGTCGGCGTCGGTGTTGAGGCGATACAAAGAAATCGTTAATAACGGGGCAAAAACTACTTACTACCATCCTGCACTCCAACGAGGGTGCTTTGATGTTCCTTTGTGGGTCCATGAAACTATTTACGGAACAGAGGACACATCGGATCTTCTTTGCAAAAATGACGAAGACAAGGATGTGGCTGACACATCAACGGCGAAATAGTTGCAGTAGTTGGTGAGCGAGAATTCAGATAAGCCCGACGATCTTTCCTGCAATGTTCGAGAATGTTTTCTATCGTGCGGCCTTCACTCACCACCAAAGATTCATTATTACTACTATTTTGCAGTTGATTGCCTTTCGATGTAAATTTCTTATCTGCTCCGTCTCCTTACGTTTCTAATGGAACAAAATATAACTATTGTTCTAGTATGATCACCATGGTAACATTCATACTTTTATATTATTACTATACTTTCTATATCCATTCTTTTTTCCGAAATTCGCTCTACGAGCTCGTATGATATGTGACTYAGAAGAGCATTGAAACTCTTTCAAGTTTTGTTTCCATTTCTTCAAAACACTCACAGATCAAAACTGATAGGTTTGAATTACACCTCCACATACCTCCAGTGTCAATGGCAACAGGGTTCAAGTGTGTACTCTTTGGGAATCATTGACCTTCTCACTTTTCCAAGTGAGGAAAGTAACATTGCTTCCTTATTCATTGCTTGTAACGGTACTATGGTACAAACGGCAGAGTTTGGTCCATCTCTTGATACTGCACGTGTGCTATCCACTATTCACTTACTTCTTGTAGAGTACGAGGAGTTGTGAGCCTAAATCACTTCGTCGTACAAAGTACGAAATTAAAAGTGATGAAAAAAATGAAAGTACCACTGGGTCTGTTGCATTGTATTGTACGAGTACAGGAACATACGTACTCGCACTCTCATACTCTAACATGAAAAGTGTTTTCTGTCGTTCGTTTTGAACAAGTAACTGTTGAATCCACACGATTACAGTACTTGTATCTATCGTGGGAAGTCTTAAAACGTTAAAACGCTGTTAACTAGATAAAACTAAAAAGAATGAGACTGTCATGCCCCAGTTATGCTAGAAATCTCCTGTGGTCCCGGGCCACCAACATCACTGGTCTCATCGYTCATTCATACACAATATATATATGGATATTCATTTTATCGCCACCAGTCCTAAGTGACTTGCGCTTATGGCGCCACCTCAGCCACCACTGCCTTGTGTCCGTAGAAACAATATGGTTCGCTGATCATCTGTTGCGACTCATGAATATGCCCTCGCTCCTGGTTCTGTCCGTTGCCTCAACACACTCCTGTGAGCTCATCCGGCTGCAGCATGTGAGTGTCCTTCAGTCGACTCGAGCTGAGCCCTGGTGAGCTCATCCTCCAAGGCCTTTCTTGCCCGCTTATCCTTCCGGTTCTTGAGTTCTGCTTTTGCTAATCGGTTGTGCTGTGGGATATCTAGCTCGGCAATTCCAAGTATCTTGTTCCGCAGTTCCCGGAACTGACTTCCTTGCAGTGGCTTTGTGAAGTAATCAGCAATCATCGCTGCGGTTGGACAATACTCCACACTGCTTTCGCCGGCCTTGATCCGGTCTGTAATAAAGAAGTACCGTATATCCATGTGTCGTGTTCTTTTCCCACTTGATCGTTTGCCATTCTCCTCAAGCTTGATCGCGCTTTGGTTGTCCTGGTAGATGATGTTGTCCTTCACTGGGAACCCCTGTGCGAGGAGAAAATATCTTGTCCATACTATCTGTGTCATCGCATCGTCCACGCCCACTAGTTCAGCCTCTGTGGAGCTTCTAGTGTTGATTTTCTGCTTGGATGATGCTGACAGTGCTGCTCCTTGTCCCATTGTCATGGTTGCACCCGTGTGGCTCCGCATGTCCTTGTGTACTGCGAATGCTGCATCCACGTGCCACCTGAGGGCTCCCGAGTTATCTATCCCCAGGACCAACGGTAGCCCTATCGATCCCCTCAGATAACACATCACTCTATCCAACTTCTTCCAATCATCCTCGTCTGGTTCCTTCACGCGTGTGCACAGGAATGCCACGGGGAGTTGTATGTCTGGTCGAGCTCTCTTGGCGAGGAATAACAGTTTCGCAGTATTAGTGTGAAAGGCTGCCTTCCGGTCCTCATCCAACAGTATCGGGTCTGTGTTGTTGATCTGAAATAGGTGGTCCGCTGCTGGTGTAACAGCTGTCTTATCAGAGGTGAGCCCGTCCGGTAGCTCGTCGAGCATGTTGTCGATGTAATCATGCATGGTAAATCGTACTCGTCCTAGTTCATTGAAGTCAATGGTCATTCCCAAATAGTCGTGTACCTTTCCCCTCGTGGTGACGAGCGGTGTAATTCTTCCATACTTATTGTTGATTTGCTCCAGCACACTGGTTACTACCCCTGGGTCTACATGGGATATCTTGATATCGTCCACATGCCAGAGGATGGTGCACTGGTTACCTCCCACTGTCTTATTCATCACGCACCAGTCGTATGGATTTGTCTGGAATCCCCATTGCTTGAGGTCTCCACTTAGCTTTTTCCAGAACATTAATGCTGCATTGAGGGTCCCATATATTGCCTTCAGGCACTCCAGATATAAGTATCTCTTTCCACGTCGATCGACCCTGATATGCTTGCTGTACAGTCTTGGATCAACCTCCACAAGTAAATCTAACATAACCCCATCGAGTTTGAGGTGAGTCTCCCCGCTGGTGTCCTCGGTTTGAAGGAAGGCTCCTGGTATGTCGGCGGTTGCCACATCCCTTCCTTTGCATGCATCAATCATGCATGAGAGGATTAGGGCTTGAACTGACACTGTGGGCGATGTAGTGTCCTCTTTGAGCATCCAGTCGCGTTGTTTTCTGCCGTCCGCACATCCCCTTCCTTTGATGTCCCCGGTCCTTTTCTCCTTAAGAAACATGAGGTAAGCTAAGGCTCGCTTCCTTTGCTCAGCACTCAGATCTCCCGAGCTGACTGGCTTTGCTACCTCTCGGTCATGGAACTGCTTTAGTTCCTTCTTGATCGCCTCGATTCCTCGTTGACCAAACAGCTTGATCCCTGCCTTGAGACTGTACTGTGACAATAGTATCTCGTGTATATGTTCCATGAATTGGTCGTCGTCCCTGCTAAATTCTAGCATCGCGTGGAGCATGAGGGCCCATTCGTCTGGGGGCATCCCTTCAGGCTCCCCTGTCATGTTGTTAAGATACCCTACAGTCTTGAGGTGGTCGTATGATCGCTCTCGGTTCCCACGGAGGCTGTACGACTGCGTTTCCAATTCGCTTTCGCTCTCGTCATCACTGTCGGAGTCACCCTGATTGTTGTCCTCATCGGTGAACACTATTTCCTCTTCTGGGTCCTCCCAACCAACTGGTGTTGTGTGATTCCCTGGCTCCTGCAAAGCTGATTCGTCGCGGTCCGGGTTTTCATCTGTACCGCTCGGTACATTTTCTACGGGCTGATCCAGTGCATCCACGCTGTCCTCACTGTTCCTTGCTGGGAGATCTACCACTCCGGTAGCATGGTCGTTGGTCTCAGTGTTCTGTGGCGACTCACCGACTGATCCAATGTCGGCCTCTCCGTCCGCCTCTGCGGTGTGCTCAGGTGTTGTTGCATTGTCTCCCGCACTGGCGGCTTGTGTCTCTTCTCCGATCATTTCACCGTTGCGGTCCCTGAACTCAACCCCCTCGGGGCTGCCCTTTGCCATCTTGTGGACCTGTTCTATTGCCTCCTCTGGCATTGGTAGGCGGGTCCACTGGCTCCGGTGTATAACCCGTCCTGATTGCAGACTGTAGAAGTAGTGTCCCCCTTGCGAGTTTCCTGTTGGCCTCATGGCTAGTGCTCCTATTGTTCGGGGATGGCCTGTGTCATTATCAGTCGGCTCGTGTGTTTGAACATACTCCCCAAACCGTAGCTGTGCATGCTTCGTAATGTCAATTGTGAGCCCCACTATGATTTCCCTTGGACTCATGGAGCCGGATACTCCAGTACGCTTGGGAAGTGCGTTCCACCAGAACACCTGGCAGTAAACTAGTTCTGTTGTAACCCTTGCAGGTAACTTCTTATATGGTAGGGTGCACTGTATTCCCCGGACCCGTTCCTTCACAGTTCGTATATATCTCTCAATCTCCGGAACGTGCTCATCCCTGGACACAAAATTTCGTGTCACGCCTGTTGCCGCTATTTGAACCCCAATTGGGACAAACTGATTATCCATGTTCACGCTTGTGATGGTGAAACCACGCTTGGAGTACACACTAGAGATGTTCTCCATGCACTTGACTATTGTGGCCGCCTTTGAGTTAGCAATCATTTCCACGGTACCGAACTGGATGTGCCTGGAGATAGTGATGAAGAATCGTATCCCATTCACATACATTATGTCAGCGCCCAGCTCCACCGTTGAGTATCGCTCCAATACTCCCTCCGGCAATGGCGTGATGTGCACACGTACATGATCCTCTTTCTGCCTGACTGTTTTGCCTTTCAGACCCACAAGACTGGGACCAAAGATTTGTTGTGCCGCATTCAAGTCCGCTCGAGTTACGGTAGCATTCTTCAGGTGGTTGTTATCCAACAGCCACAGTAGCTCCTTGGTTGGCACGTTGAGGATGTCCTGTAGCCTCCTCGCTTTCTCCGCACGCCTCGTGTCAAGTTGTGAGAACTGTTTCTTGTTATCGYTTACTGTCARTATCCCATTGTTGTTTAGGACCACAGATGTCTCACGCATGCTGCTGTAGTACAGTCCACGGCGTGATTCCTTGAACTCACGACAGCGTGTTTGGTCCACGCTGTACAGCCGGAAGATGTTATCGGCTGCACTGTCGAATGTCACCCGGTTGGTTCTCCTGACCTTGGATAGAGACAGGATGTTGGCTATGCCGTTCTTGTGGTACCATACTTGGCCCACTCCTGGGAACTCGCCCACCCAGTTTGTTCTAGCCACGCCCGCGTTGCAGAATATGTTCATGTGTTTGTTGACCTGTCTGATGTTGCTCAACAGGCTTGGGTTGCACATGACGTGTACGGTTGATTGGTTGTCCAGTAGGACCCAATCCTTGTTTATCTGTCCTTTGGCTTGACTGAGTATCACGTCATAGTTGATAGAGGGTGTATCCCCCATCGTCAGCCCACTCCTGCAATCTGCACCGATTGTGCAGAACATCAGTTTGTATGGGTTGTCATCATAGTCGCTGTCCCCATCTGACTCAGCGTCGTCGAAGTTGAGTTGGGCCATACTGGTCTGTTCATCCGGTGTCCCAGTGGTTTTGTTATTGCTTGCGGTGTTGTTTGTTCGTCGGTTCTCCTTGGCCTGCTTGTACTCCTCTACATCCACTGGGTTGCACACGTCCTCATATGCGTAGTGTCCGGTCTTTCCACACCGGTAGCAGGTCACATTGCTCTTGTCCCTTGCACGTCGTGTGTTTCCGTCTTGTGAGAATGCAACCCCATCGTTAGTGTTGATCATTTTACTGCGGCCGTGTGATCCCCCTTTCTGTGCATGTTTGTAGTTGATTAATAGCTTATGGGCCTCGGTTAGATCCCTCGGGTACTTGTTGTACCCCATCAGATAGTCGTTCTCCAGGTTGATCTTGATCTCTGAGTATCTTCCGTGGTTGGCGTTCTCTATGTAGATGGTTGCCAGCATGAGGTCCTGTGTCTTCTTGTTAACAGTCTCACGCTCGTCGTCTGATATTTTGGTTGGTGTTTTATCAGGGAACTCCGTTTGTAGGATGTACTCTTCGATTCCTGGGAGGTGCATGTTGCCTCCACATGCGGTCATTGATGTCGCCATGTTTTCAAATAGCTTGTACCACTCTATGTCTGTCATAGAATCACCTTGTCTTGTTCTGGCCAGTTGCAGTAGTGATCGCACTGCTGCAAGTGGGGGAAATTGCTGCGACTCATACTTGTAGCAGATTTTCTTGATGATCATTAGTAGGCCCAGCGTGTCGGTGTCCTCCTTCACCGTTTGGTACGTTTCATCGGCTGTTATCTTCTGCATCATCTCGTCGGAACACTGTCCGTGGATCACACTGTACATCTTCTTGAGATTGTCCTCATATCGCAACACCTTTATTGCGTATTGTTTGATCATYTCTTTAGCCAGAGCAACCTGAATTTCGTTGGTGTCCTCGTTGACGTCGACTTGTAGGATGTTTGTCATTAGCACATCCCGAACACACTTGATGTCCTCGATAGCTCTACGGACATTGTTACCATATTTTCTTCCAGCATAGTCCACAAGCTCAGTCTTSGTTCTCATGAACCTTGAGGCTTGATCTGGACCCACGTGAAAGATGTGACCGTCCAGATCCGAGCATCTTCCAGTGAAGCTAGTGTGGTAYTTRTTACCAGTGGGTCGATTATTCTTCYTTCTCCCACCTCGCTGTCTTTGCCTCGTCCATTGGGCGCTCCCGCCAGCGGCTTCGGGAGTCTTATTGTCATCTTGCTTCGTTATGAGCTCACTCATACTAGCGTTAGTGTTGCTGCTGCTTGTTGATTCTTTTTAGTTTTATGTTGAATCCACACGATTACAGTACTTGTATCTATCGTGGGAAGTCTTAAAACGTTAAAACGCTGTTAACTAGATAAAACTAAAAAGAATGAGACTGTCATGCCCCAGTTATGCTAGAAATCTCCTGTGGTCCCGGGCCACCAACATCACTGGTCTCATCGYTCATTCATACACAATATATATATGGATATTCATTTTATCGCCACCAGTCCTAAGTGACTTGCGCTTATGGCGCCACCTCAGCCACCACTGCCTTGTGTCCGTAGAAACAATATGGTTCGCTGATCATCTGTTGCTGATCATCTGTTGCGACTCATGAATATGCCCTCGCTCCTGGTTCTGTCCGTTGCCTCAACAGTAACAGCTTCGTACCGGTACGAATCCGGCTATGAATTAACAGTATCAAAGCGTACAAGGAAGCGATCTCCGTCTCAAAGGAGAAAAAAAGCTTCATGTTTTGAAATAGCCATCTGAATTTCTTGCGAAAATACGAACATATCGTGTTCCGCACCCTTCATTTCATTCTCTTGTTTCGAATAGATAAAAACCTCGTTGAGAATATCATCTTTCTGACGACTGTCAGATGGAAATACCAGACCATGGAAGAAACTGACGCGCCATTCACAAAATCATTCAWCCAGAATCATCGACGCCGGCGAGCTAAACCGAACCAACCGAACGAGAATCTCCCTCCACCGTTGTCGGTACATCCCGGCGGGGAAAAGAGTGGTTCTGTCCAATATTACTATGATGATTCGGCTGGGGACGACAAAGGTCACCGTCACAACGAAGATCGTATCTTTCAGGGTTCCTGTTCCTTTGGGCAATTCGTTTTGAATCCTTGTCTCTGCATGTTCAATGCGGCCTACTCGTGCATCCACGGGTGGCGATTTCGCCGAAGAGAGAAGAAGATGGCACGGGCACTCTTCTTTGTGGTTGGGGTTGGGACCATCGCCATTTATTCACTTTCGGATGCAGAATCCCAGTTTACTCGGCGTTCTCTGGGTTTCTCGACACCGGGACGTCCTCTCACCGACGAAATGGTGAATCAGATTCCCGTTACGATTCCCATTTTGGATTTTAGGAAAGATATCGGTGGATGGTCACATCTCAGGAGGTTTTTTCACYCCACTTTAGATTTGAACTCAGTGGGTATGCCGGACTTTGGAGACCTGGACGTGATGCTAAAGAGAGAGAGTGATACCGTAAAAGTTGAAGACGTAGACGAAAGCCAGATGTTATTCTCTTCGTCACTTCACAGCACTCAGTTGTTGGCAAAAGCGAGAACCATAAACCYAGATGATGAAAAATTAGCTCTCGCTCACTGGGAAGAATCGTATGAGAGCGACTATTATGTTCATACTTATGATCGTTTCCCCGAAGAACGCGAGGATGAAAAACGGAAATGTCGACAACCGAATTGGGCAAAACGGTACTACCCACAATGCGTACGTCAATTCATTATCGTTTGTGCAGTACASCCGTGTAGCTGGCGAGGCGTGCAATGATTATTGGCAGGTACTTCYACTGTTTTCTKAACATTTCGCAAATGTACATTTTCTTCGCAGAATTCGATTCACGAAATCGCTTTGACAAGAGATTATGATCCAGAGGCTGCTAAAAGTCCCGGATACGACCAGCCCTTCGACAATTTCTACATAAGTCACGGCTACTATCGTGATGTCTGGTAAGTTATCATTTGTTCTTACTATTGATCCGCTGTTGCACGCCRATACAAGATTATTGTCAAAGATTTAATCTCACGTTTTTCTTTAGGGTGATTCACCAGCAAACCCCAGTAGATGTGAAAACTGTCTTGAAGATCACGAGGTACAAACACGATTATGATAAAAGAACATACTGGAACACTTTGGCCGATGCCATGGTAATGGAGAGACTGACAGCTTCGCCTCGAATTATTGATATTTATGGTCACTGTGGGACTTCGGTTTGGGTCGAGGTACGCGACCAGTTGATAATGGATTGGCGTCTGTTTGTCAATGACTTTATTTGTTTCGAGGCTCTGCTTTGTACCTCACCCAAATTACTATCTTATCAATACAGGCTATTCCCAATGAAGTAGAGGAAGTCATCATCCATGGAAAAGGTATGGCAAAGCAAGAAGATCTCTATAATGATGGGTTTAAACCATTKAATAATTATACAGTCGAAGAGAAGCTTGATATGGCCTTGTCAATGGCAGAATCTTTAGCCGATTTGCATGGATTTCGCGATGGCGTTATGTGAGTACTTCTTCTTCAGGAAAAGTGAATGTTGATAATACAAACGGCCGGAAACATGTCTTCTCTCTACAMATGATTGCTCTATTCGCTTCTAATAGTGTCTATGTTTTTTCCCTATCCATCTTCGGATATTTACCGTTATTGAAAATACAGAGTTCACGATGACGTTCAACTTTGTCAATGGTTGAGAACTAAAGATGGCAGGCTGAAACTAGGAGATTTCAATCGGGCGGAAGTCATGGAATTCAACTTGAAGAAAAAAGAATATTGCCGCTACTACAACGGCCACTGCTATGGGAATGTAAGTACTTGTTTTCCAGTTTTTCGTGTCTTCTTCGTGGTGGACAATGGAGAGCGTGAAACTCAGAACTTTGAACAGAAACAATATACTCGTACCGCGCCAGTCTCACTTGTTAGATATTTTACATTGATTATTACTTGTTCAGTATCGCGCCCCGGAAGAATATGCCAAAGACTATTTGAACGAGGCGATTGATGTCTTTTCTTTCGGCAACAATATTTATGGCCTATTGACTGGTCTTTGGGTATTTTACGATACTGACGATGACCCGTCGGTTCAATCCATGGTTATAAACGGAACAAGGGCCTTGATAGACCCTCGATGGAGGGAGCGGAGCTTCATCGAATCAAAACTAGTGGACGTGATGGAGCAATGCTGGAAATCTGATATACATGAACGAATGGACATTTTTCAGGCAGTGCAGAAACTGAGAGAGGTGAAGAAAGAGTATGAAAAAARGAAAACGTGATCATTGCTTCGTTCTCAATCGTATGCAATTGTGTTTGCCTATAAAATGTTCAATTGACAAGAGCTTTGCTTCACAGTGTGACAGATGTAGAGACAGAGGCTACCAAAGGTACGCGCAATGGTTTTTGATGGCCTCCACTTATCAAGGAGCACATCATCAATCACTTTTGGAGGTGACCGAGAAAATGAAGCTTCCAAACAGACAATTCTAGCTGATGTCATAAATTGTTGCAGCATAAGCTAGTGTGTGTGGTATTTTGCTGTGATTGAGAGTTCATTCACAACCTCATTACTTTAATTTACAGCTCACACTGGAGTTTACTCATGTGAAACAATATCAAAACGACAAATCAAGTGAATCAAATAATCCTTGGTTCATAATCACAAACAATTTCAAATTCTTCTGATCTCTTGTTTCCTTTTTTAATACCCCAACTTATCAGTATGTACTGTATCATAGCAACAGTAGTTCCAATGTAAAGTACTTCTTGTTGCYTTCTAGTAGTAGCACAGTGCTACTAATTTGATAAATATTTTAATAATTTCTCTATACTAGTACATCAGTACTACTAGTAGTGTCAAAGTAAWACTCCCAWAGGAAAGAATGACAGAAACAACAAGAAGTACTRCTACTAMTACTACTATTATAGTAGTACTACTGTGCACTGATACTACTACTAGTATCATCTCCTCCAATAGTAGTAGAAGGAATCCCATGCTTGTCAAATTTCAAGAAGTAGCAAAGAAGAASAACAACAAGAAGGAGCATCTTTGTTATTGTTGTATAAAACCAAGTAATACTACTATGTTCAATGCCAATTAACTCAAAATGACTTCTGAATACATTTTATGTGTCGCGACTGCAAGCAATAACTAGACAATTTGATAAGGGTCCTCCCCTTCTTCATAGTCCATATTTACTAGATTTAAAGACAGCTCTAAAAAGTCCAGGATATTATTGGGTGATTCCTCCTGTTATTACAAATGTGCTAGTAGTGCTACTTTTGATAGACTGAAAGACCAAAAATTTACTTTATTACATCATGTGGTTACAGATGCTGTGTATTGCTTTTGAGATGGGTCCACTGCCCCCTTTCCAAAAAAGATAATTTATGATGGGACTCTCATATCAAAATTTTGAGTCTGTTGTAAAATTCTGAGTACCAAAGAGCAGGAGGGACATATAGTTGAGATTCCTAATTCCCCAARAGACTGGCATYAAGCCAGCATACTCTGCCATCTGTCCATAAAAAATTGGATTCCCATCATTATAAATGTAATAAATGTGCTAAACTAGGAGTAGTCATGCCCTGTTTATTAGACTACTTTTACTAGTACCAGTWCCAATTGATTGCCCCACCACTACTACTTATAAAGTGCTGMTTAACATAGTAGTAGTGAATTTAATGATGCCACGATCATTATTTTTTTGGTACAAATTCTATAGAGCTCTACTGCTGTCTGTTGCTCCCCACCAACATTTTCAGCATGATTTGCCTTCTGAGAAAGAAGCAGCATTGGTTCTGTACCACCAAAATGCTGTTGGCACTTTTGGTGCCTTTGYTGTTGGTGTTGTTTTTGCTGTTGAAGAACAATAACTTACTGACTAACAGACTCTCTAATCCTGATTGGTCCTTTTGTAGCATTAACAAGAAGCAAGCAAAGCTAGATTCTCACAGCCAAAAACTGGTGCGTTTTAATACTCATTATCATGGAAGTCGAATAGTAGAATAGAAAAGTACAAAAATAGTAGTTATTCGACTGGAATTGTCCTTCTAGAGGAATAAGGGAGTTTGAGGTTTGGAAAAATGTAAAAACATGGTATCAACAAATTTTTAATGTAGAGCATGTACTATGTTGAACTCCTTTTTTTTCTGAAGAAATATAAAGTTACGGGAATGAGATGGTGGTGGCACAAGATGAGTTTGCTGATATGCTATTCAAAATTTGACTTCCACTTGCAGCACACCGCAAAAGACTAATCTGATCCAGATTCCATCCACAAATTTGGGTTCGTACCTCGTACAGTACAACATAAGGTAGAAGCTTTCTCGCCCTAGAAGACAACCCAACCTTGTATCGTACGGTAGGTATAGTATGTATAATATCTGCTGCTCATACCATATGGAATGCGCATCTCGATTCTCTATCGCGCCAGATTTTGCTCACAAGGAAGTGCGATGGAGATCGTGTTTGTGTGGGAAAGCGAGGTGGACGGACAATACCCGTAGGTCGACACAGTAGAAAACTGCATTGCCTAGTTCCAATGCAGCGATTCGCGGAAAAAATTATACCGAGGAAGTAGCAGGAAAATAAGCTTTCGTMCCTGCGACCGTACTTCTCTACCATAGGTACGATGGGGGAGGGCTGGATGGCGGGGCGGTTAAATTATGAATTCAGTACGGATGAGSACGTACGATTACTACCACACCCATTGAGTTGCGTTACAAAAACATAGCGTAAATTGCATCCGCTGCTTGATGTACAAAATATTAATKTACGCACTCTACGTTCACGAATACGAGAAGCCATCTAGCCAACGAACGAAACAAAAAATTGCGAACCAAAAATCATCAAGCAATATCCCATACCTTACAATAAGGTTGTCTATGAATACAAAAGGACCAACGAGTTAAAAAGGATAAGCGACAAGAAAGCCAGTTCAAGATTACCGGGGAGACTCCACGATCGAATCAGTGATCTCTGTATCGCTTCGGTAACCTAGTTACCATGGAGAATTTATTGGAAGTACAAAAATCGCTTTATGGTCCCGGAGTGGATGGCCCTCCGATGATTTTTGAACCCGAAGCATCTGCGTTTCAGCTCGAAACGGTAGCRCMTCGTCCAGCGAAACGCTCTAAAACTGGGTTGCCGCAAAACGAAATGCAGGAGAAGCAGACGGAGAGGAAGAAAAGTGCTGTTGTGCGGCGAGACCTATTCGCCCAATTGAAAGCAAAAGCGAAACCCCTACCTCAACAGTTAGCACCCTGTCAAATGCCCGGCGATTTCCCTCCCGAACTCTCATTCCGTGCAATGGCAGCATATTCCTTGCTAAGGACTCTTAGCATACAACTTCGGCTGTCCCCTTTTGCCCCGAATGTGTTCTTGMGAGCTCTGTATTTGCCCATCCCCACTCGACTCTTGGGAGAAGTTCAYGTGGCCATTCTGCGCATCCTCTTTGCCCAAAAACTGAAAAACATGGGGTACTCTTACAAAGCTGGTGGCGGGGGTGTTGGAGTACACAAAAAACGCCAACACGACAACATTCGATGGCCCTTGCTGGCRGGGGACAACCTTACCCATCTCGACATTTACTCSTGGCCACTATTTTACGATGATTATTGCCACTTGACGGCCGACCGGCTATGGGCAAGCTATCACGGGCCTCTCGAGCCAGATAGTGATGATGCCCAGGATCACAAGAACTACATTGACTTTCGCAACATTGGACTATTCGGATCTTCTCCGGGGCATGAATATCGGACGAAACAGTGCGCGGACGGTGTGACATTACCAGCAGCGAATCAAAAAAAATATTTTCGGGCGGGATATCGAGAAGCAAAGACAGCRCACGGCCAGGGGAAAGGCGAGTGTGCTAAACAAAAAGAGTCATATCAGGACAGCAACGATGAAAWTTTTTTGTCCAAGAAAAGTCAAGTGCRCCATGTCGAGAGAGGTGACGCGGATCGAGCGGCAACAACCAACTTGCTTCACTCCGACCACTCAAAATCCGAAGAGGAATATACGGCAGGTGATGACGACGATGACAACGATGAAGATTGGACAAATAAACCAAAACCAAAGAARAAACGCCGCCGGGTAGTGAAAAAGAATGTTTCTGCCGGAAGTATTTCAATCAAGCCTTCGATTAGTGCACACATGCCAAAKGCKKCGATGCCGGGATCTACAGACAAAGAACAACAAATGGCATCGGTCCCGAATCATTGGTCTCGAATCACTTCATCCCCACCAAAATCAGCGCCAACTCTAGCAAGTGCAATAAATGATGGATCTACTCCGAGTTGGTCTCGAATCACTTCTCTTGAACCATCGCCACAGAAAGAGTTACAGCCGAATATATTGCCTCAATCCGCCACAACTCAAAACAATTTCGATCAAAAGGAAGACGTGAATAAGCCAACCAAGTCAGTACAAAGCCTAGGTGACAAAAGCCAACTCYCTGCTTCKGGCTTGATCAATRCAAACAACAACAACATTGATTGCAAGCAAACAATTCTGTCTTCGGGATTATCCATGACGACATCTCTCCTAGTTAAGGTTAATGGAGGTATGGATATGCCATCCGAAAAGGATTCGACAGCCAAGATCGGTGCCGACTGTAGTCGACCAATTCGGCCAACGGATACAYCCAATTCGATGCCAACAGATAGCGACGTTCCCAGATATATCGACAATTTCAAAGATCCAAAGAAAGAAACCGAATTGTCGAATACGATTACACAGTCAACCACAGACGTTCAGCACGACCCAGCGATTGCACCCAAAGAATCATCGTCGTCGGAGTTACTCTTRAATTCTACGTCGGATTCTCACAACGCTTCCAATTGCAATCAGAATACAGAAAACAATTCCACTGACATTTCGTTGGYAGTCAGAGCAACTCATGATATTCATGACCCGACTGCGATGATGTCCCTACAGGCGGCAGTTGTGACAGAGCCYGGGGCGCATGTGTTGGCAACCCCAGGTCAGCATAGTTCAASACCGAATCCAACAARCGTAGGSCAGCCAGGCAAGTGTACTGAATCCGATTTGATTTGTCAGCAGTCACAACAGATACAGGAAGAAGAGAAAGAAACGGAYAACAATATTCTTAGAATTAGAGGTGGCGGGGGTGCTGAYGATTCTAAAACGAATAAGTCCTTCAATAGCGGTGTCAATATGCAGAAGATGGGCCGCCCACGAGGATCACGGAGAGCATTGCCAATTCACAACCGGACAGGTGCATCACGAACAACAAACCTTCCCATGCATCGACACCAATTTACAATGCCGCCGCTTCAGCAGCAATCCAATCAACAGCAATCGTTATTCCAGCAGCAAGAGTACCGCTTTTACCAAGCGCAAATAAAAGCGCGAGCAAWTGAGAATTTTGGCAAGCCCATTACACTTGCTGGCATAAATTCAATTACTTCCGGAGCTTCCAAAGAAARCCCGAGCCAATTGAAACACCTACAGTTCCTAAACGCGCTATCAAATCAAGARCTTCATCCACTWAAAAAGGGCCGCTTTGAAGTTGAGGATCATAGGGAACTGCTGGATGCSCCCTATTTAGTGCCGGATGATGTTCGAGACGCAATAAATGCTTTTGTGTATGATCCGTCTAGTTATAAGCGAAAAGCGACCAATGTTGAAGTCCTCGGTGATGACGATCACCACAGCGTTCATAAGAGAAGTGATAAGGAGGACTTGTTTGAAAAGGAGCTTGAAAGAGATTTATGGTTGCATTTCAAACCTTTGAAAGCTATGCGTTCAGGTATTCCTTATCATCGCCTTCCGMCTGAGGACAAGATTAATATGCTTGAATTTCTCATAGACGAGCTTTTGACAGTTGACGCAATATCTGCAGAGTTCCAGAAACGTCGTATTCGGACTGAATACCACGAAACTCCTTATGGTAGCTTACCAGACGAAGAAGAATACAAAAATTTAGACAACAATGATGAATGCGCTGTGTGTGGTCAAGAGGGGGACTTACTGTGTTGTGACGGCTGCGTKTCCAGTTACCATAGGGGTTGTCTCAACATGAATGCGGGACAAAGCTTACCAGAAGGCAAATGGCTTTGCCCTGAGTGCAGTCTGGTAGACCCTTGTACTTTTGGTACAATGCGTGGAGGACGCAAGAGCGAGCTGGATTGGTTCACTGTTGATGACGTAGTGAAATGTTGCAACAAAGTATCTCCTTGCACCTCTCAAGGATTTGTAAGCGAGTCTCCACTAYWACWTCAATCTTCTTTCAAAAATCACAATCCTCCCTCGGTTATAGGGGTTTCAGACAATAAAAGATCTGGTGACGCCATTGTCAAAAWTACCACAGAGTCAAGAAATAACAAAGACCAACAAAACTTGAAAGAAAAGGAACTTCTAGTTGTGCACGGTTTCGTTTTTTGCAGGAAATTGTCTTCGTCTAACCAGTTCAAACCTTACACAGCACTGTCAAAAAAAGACCTTGAAGATTTGCTTTCTCAAGTTGGTGAAAGGGTATCGAAAGCCTGGCCTCTAATACAGGTCCCCTCTGCCGATCAAACTTCTTCCTTTCCGTCATTGAATACTTATTTCAATGACATCGCGWCATTCAACCCTTGTCTTTACAGAAATAAATATAACAGTGCACCGATTTCKCTCCTCACAAAGGTTGGGGCTGTTCACAATATGACAAAGATGATGCATCAGACTTACGAATCGGAATGCAATAAGCTGAACACATCAAAACTTTCCGAAATCCTGTCTGAGGACATGTCCCTCGACGCAGAAATCTCCAGGTGTTTGGAGACACAAGCAACTTTATTTGATCCGTTTCAAATTCTGAAAACCTACATGTTAAAACTTGAACTGACTTTGAAAAAGTCTTGCATGATAAATGAATTTTGGGAAGGCGGTCATTTGAAAAGTAGAAGTGAAATATGGGCATCCAGAGTAAGGAGCGCTAGATCCATTCGAGGTTTGAGCCGTCTGCTACTAAAGTTGGTGAACGCCATCCACGCCAAAGCATTCACAAGTGCTTGGGTTCACAGTCATGTGTCAAAAAGCCACGACTCGGAAGGTTCGACTTCAGATCGAAATTATAAGGTTCTCCCAAGTGATTGGAGCGAAGAGAAGGAAAAATTGAAGCATCGATGGGAAATGACACCTTCTAACATGATTYTTGACCTTTGTATCAGTGGTGACAATGATTTGATGGCATTCGCTACAGGCATTCGATCCGATATCTTCATTGCGAAACAGATTAGCGTCATTAAAAGCAAGAGGAAACGAAAGAAGTTTACGTCGTCATCTAGAGCAAAAGGACTTGAAACTGAGAATCTCATTGCAACGTCTAAACCTTCAATTTGTGTTGGTGTAGAACAGCAACCAAAGAAATCGAAAGCASAGGACCTGAATACGAAAACAACCGATCCAGAACGTATTGCGAAGAACGAAGCAAATGCTTCTCCCAGAATAGAAACGACTGATCAAGCAACTCCAGATTCATTCGATGATCGTGAGATAGACCAAATAAATKCRAATTCTATGCCTCGTGTTGAAAGCAATGTCGCAAACGGCACATTTGACGTATTGTTATCCACTGAGGAGAAACCAGAGGTTCCGAAGCCCCCAATTCCTGTTGGTATTGTTCATTCAAACAATGAAATTATGAAAAATAGTTCGAATGCAACGAATTTAGTCAASATATTTAAGGAACCCGAAGATCCAGACCAGAGCAAAATGAAAGGGGAATCAGACGAAGCCCMTGGATGTCACACTACAACAAAAGCCGAACAAGATTCTTCTTCAAAACAAATGGAAACCACTGAAGAGAAGCAAGCAGAGAATGATAATGATTTGAATGAGGAAAAAGTTGATACAATAATCTCTACACCTACCTCATCTGCGAAGAAAAAGAAGAGAAGGCAAGCGAAATCAAGGCCACGAGAGCCCTCAAGTCGACGTCATACGAGACGTTCAGGTCGTCTTTCKTCTGAATTTTCGGTTGAATGTTCAAGAAATGCATCCATTTTGGAGGCCGGAGATTTAAGTACTTCCACAATGGAGCCTCTTGGGGGCATGGCGTTGCAGATTGAGAATTCGAAAAAAGAGAAAATACCCGGCTTGGAAAAGTTGGTCAAGGGACAGTACGCGGTTCAGGGGATTTGGCCGATCGCTGGAAGACAAATTTTTCCWACGATTGGAAATCTACCACCTGGTGGTAAGTGGATTCGCTTTTTTGTTCATCTTCCTTTCTTCTAAACATTCACTCACATTCCATCTTTCCCATTCAGAAATGAAAAGGCTGGCGAAAAATGCTGGTTCGGCGCTAGCGGCCAACTTAAGTTACCATACCAATCATGAAGTTGCCCAAGTATGCTATGGTCACATTTGGAGGAAAAGAGTCGCGTCATGCGGTCGATTTGAAGAGCTTTTGCATCTAATAAGAGTTCTTGAATCGTCGTTAGATCGAGAGGTGAGTGATTTTTCCCCTTCATCGTGTGCTTGTAGACTACTGCTTTCGCTCAATTCTAACAGCATGTTCCATTGCTACGTAGATGATTCATCAGTSCGAGAATCAAACCAAGCGGGGAAAGACAAAAAATCTCAAGGTTGTGCAAATTACCATGAGAAATCCGTCTTCTGGATCTCTTGAACACTTCGTGGTGAACAAAAAAACGAATAAAGGTTGTTGGGTACCTGCTGAGCAATTGGATGTATCGTCACTGATAGCAGATCTCTTCCTCCGTCGTCAAAGACAAAGAGAGGAACGACTGAAGCGTGTTAGTGAAGAGAAAAAGTTGATTGAATACGAGCGAAATAAACGCATTGCAGAAGCTGTGAAGAAGGCCGAAGAAGATAAGAGAAAACAAGAGGCAGCCCGTGCAGCTGTCAAGCGTAAGAAAAAAGAAGAGAAAGAAAAGAAAAGGCTTGAACAACAACTTAAGAAAAAAGCCCGATTATTGGCYGAAGCCCATGCGCAGAAAGCTAGTGACTTGGTGATGAAAAAGTTTGAAGCTCAGTCAGATGTCAGTAACTGGAAGAAACAAATCAACTATGCATTCGAATCACACGAATTGCGAACAGAATATGCGTTGTCCTCCTGGATCAATCGAGGATCTTCAACCATACCCGATAATGAATTGATAGAGATCAGAAAGAGAACCCTTGTGCAGCTCAGAAAGATAATGGACAAGCTTCGTCAATTGAACGAGTCAGTGATGACCGACCAGCAACTAATTACAAGGATGTTTGACCACGAACACAAGGTTGCTTTAAGGTGCCAATCAAAGAAACCTACAATGAACGGCATGGGTAATTCTGAAAATCTTACGTTTGCTACGAGTGCAAATGCTGGAAACAAAGAATCAAATTCTTCTTCGGCAATTCATGATAACCGTGACGACAATGTGAACTCATTCTCTGGACAAAATGTTGCCACTCGCTTTACGATTGCACCTGGGTCTAATGAGCAGGAGGGACCAAACCAACTTTCTATGAGCAACGGCAACCCCAACCCCAACCCCAAACATGTTTCTCCTTCCGACAAATTCCCTTTCGAGGATAATACTTTCTCGAGCCAATCTATCCCGAATCAAATACAGTCCGCGCAGAGTAGTCATGGCTTCGACAAAAGGCTCGGTGAATATGGAATGCGAAACAATGCTCCGGGACAGATGGGCCTCATTAGCCAGTCATTTGACATTAAGTCGCAACAGTCGGCAGGAGTGAATCCTAGCCGGATTGGGCTTCAAAATCCAACGTCAATTGTATCATCTTCTACACCAAGCAAACAAAATTTCGTTCTCAACGGTTCTTTTTCAAGAGACAATAATGCATTCAGTAGCTCAGTGCCAGTGCCAGTGCCAGTGCCAGTGCCAAAACAAGGAGCATTTTCTTCAATGGAGTCCACGCAGCAAGGAAGAAAATTTTCGCAATCACCAAATATGAAGGCGCAGCAACAACATCAGCACCAATTTTCTATGCACCAGCTTGCGGGACAATACGATGGAAAGCTAGATTTTCAATCAAGCACTCTAGCTCCCGACAACAGCGSACAACAGTTGGCATCAGGTAACGCATTGCAGCCGTATCAAAATATGATGCTAGGTCGGCAAGATCAACAACCAGCRTACCAGCAAATGCAGCAARCAGGAATTCAAAACCAGAACTTTCAGTCWTATCCACCCAATATGCAATCACRTGGGGCTCTCTTTGGCAATTCCAACGGGAACCGRCAAGCTTCTGGTGGTACGTACACCGGGAACATTTTGAGTCACCAAAGTCCTATATCGAACCAGCATGCTGCTCAGCACTTGAAYTCAGATCGACAAAACCAAAGCCCGTTTTCCGTCCGAGGAGTTGCCAATCAACYSCAACACCATGTTCRGTCGCACAACGATCAATATGCGCACGGTGGCATGAACTACTTGAACCCACCGATGTCGATGAGCAGAGCGTATGATCCGTCTTACGGTGTAAAGCTTGCCAATCCCGACTCTCATCGTCATCAAGCGAAGTCTCTTCCGCAGCCACAAACCATTTCGCGTCCTGCCGTGGCCATGGGTTATCAACAGACSCAAGCGCAAGAAGTCGGGAACCAACAAGGTGTCYATTTGTTCTCTGCGCAGCGCAGTGTGCAGCAACCGAACAACTTTGCCCAGTTCGATTTCCGTCAACCTAGCCAATCGAGTTCGAACACCCAATCCATGCATCCAGTGATGGCCATGGCATCGCAGCACCAAGAWCTGAATCAAACATCGTATCAAGGGCATCAGCAATCAAAATTACAGCCACCACAGCATCAGTTCCATCATTCACTCCAAAATAATGAAATGTATGGGGCGCAGCAGCAGAGGCAACAGCAGCAACAAAACACACAGACCCAGGGGCAATTCAATCCCGATTCTTTCGAGAATATCTTCTTTTGATAATAATGAATWTTCRTTTTTYGTCGAATTGCATTTTGCACCTTTGAACACRGTGYTGTGCGTATCATGTTGTAGTATAGAATAGCTTCTCTAAGGTTTGGATTTTTAATTTCGATCTACTGAGTATTTTGCGGTTCGTATGGGAACGCCGAAGGCTTGCTTGGGACGATGCCAATGCCAATGCCAATGCCATCGTACCCGGCAGCTATTCCGATATAACCGGGGGAGGCAGGACCGGGCCTTGCCAGCAGCCGTGCGATCGTTTCGAGTTCACGGACCTTCTCGATGCGGCAATCCCCAGGCCTAGTTTTCCGACCAGCACACGGTCTCCCGGAAAGAGCAGCGGGGGCACCTGCATCTCCCTCGGCACGATCAGCTCGTCGCGGACCTCTCTGCGGGTCGCGACGACAGGGGAAGGCCCGCCCGCGGTGYTYCCCCCGCACCAACCGTGGTGCAGCGCCTCGCTCGCCGTGARCCGTCGTTCCGGATTCAGCACCAGCAGATTCGATGCGAGGTCGACCAGCTCTTGCGATTCCGCGGCCCTCGGCAGGACGCGATCCAAGGGTTTCGGTGGCCTCGTGCCAAAGCCGAGTTTCCCGTAGTCCGGGAGCTTTGTCACGGACCGCCACGTAGTTTCGTCGGGCGTCCCGAGCGACCCAAAGACGGCGGACAACTGGTCGATGACGTTTCGCCCTTGCCAGAGCGGTCGTCCCGCGACCAGCTCGGCCAGAACCACCCCCGCGCTCCACAGRTCCACCGAGGGATCTCCCGCGGAACCCCCCAGGAGCACCTCGGGCGGCCGGTAGTGCAGCGTGCACAGCCCCCTGTCGTTGTTTGTCGCTGTGGGGTACTGCTGCTGCTGCTGCTGCTGCTGCCGCTCCCCCTCGACCGCCGCGGGGATTGCCCCCCTCCCGTCGCCGGGGGGACCAAAGGGCTTCGCCAGCCCGAAATCGCAGAGCTGGACGGTTCCGTCGGGCGCCACCAGCAGGTTTCCGGGTTTCACGTCTCCGTGCAGGACCCTTCTGGCGTGGCAGTGCACGAGTGCCGAAAAGACGTCCCGGAGGACGGCCCTTAGGAACCGAAAGGCGAGCGGCTGCCGAAAGGCCCGCCGYCTTTCCTCCAGCACCTCGCGCAGATCGATGGGGGCGTACGAGAASGCGAGCGACAGGCTGCCGGAGGTCCCTCCGGGAAAGACGGCCACCAGGGGCACGATGTTCGGGTGGCCCTCYAGGAGCCGCAGGGCCCGCACCTCGTTGCGGACCTCGTCGRAAAGCGCGTGCAGCTTCTCTCCCGGCGATGGACGGGCCGGACCGCCGGCTCCRGCGCCRCCACCAACTTCGATCGCGTTGTGGATCGTTTTCACGGCGACAAACGAATGCCTCGGCGCGAGGGCCGTTTTTGTWGCCTTTGCGTTGTTGTTTGCGTTGTTGTTGTTGTCGTTGGCCTCGTCCRCAAAATCGSGGCCGCCGTCTTTGCTCCCGCGGCACCACGTAGCGATCGAAACCTCCCCGAATCCCCCGCGGGCAAAGACGGGATCCCCCCCCCGGATCGCGTGAACGGACTCTCCCCCGAAGGCCGAGAGCCACCGAGAAACATCGGTTGGTGGGTGATCGTCACTGGTCCCTTTCCTGGGAACGCAGGCGTCCCCGTCGCCTTGTTTCCATCGCTTGTGCTGCATGGTGCGGCGGATACGAGCACGATACCAGTTCGGCAGAGCGCTTGGTCGATGCCGTATCGTGCTGCCCCAATCTCTGTTCTGCCCCACCAAGCCGAGGCTATGGATTGCGGATTGCGGATTGCGGATTGCGGATTTCTGAGAGCACAGTACGAGTACGTGCCTTACGGTACGTATCGTATCGAACGTACGTAGCGTACGAGTAACGGACTGATAGCAAATAGCAACAGGTACAGTATCTTGCGTTGCGCCGACAGACGCTGAAGGAATCAATCAATGAGCGCTCAAACATCCCCCATCCCTAATCTACTTAGGTATGTTCTATATTCTACCTCCGATTCTTTTCAAAACCCGACATAAAAGTATTTGTTACGGGACTGGCAACGACCGAATCTGCACTGACATCATCGGAGAGCAGATGACCGAAACTCTTCTCGTGGTGAATTTTCAACAAACAAGACCGAACCTTGGAACACCGAGAAACTTGCACCCGCACGCTTTCGTCTTCTAACATGTGGGTCGTTCTATCAAAAACTAATACAGTGGGGGTATTTGAACGTAATGCAACAAAAAATGCAACAGTATAGAATCATGTACAAGTCTACGTACGTACACCTCGCTATTATCCTACTCACCAGCACAGT